GTACCGATTCCCTCGTGGCCTATACGCAGTCTACATCGTAGTAACTACAATCTATATCTACATACGTCTTTATGAGCTAAGTGTATGAATGTTTTGTGTCGGAAATGGCTTTTACTTACCCTTTCCAAAAGCGATATCTTTTCTGTGGCAACACACTACCTAGGCAACACCAAACACTATCAAAATGTAGTTACGATACATGATGTTCCATCGCAGTTGTGATTATCCATGAATTTGCTGAGTTATTTATTCAAAATCATTTTAGCATAACATACTCAGTTCTCTGTATAACTAATTAAACTTCAATATTACTATTTGTAATGGGCGAGATTTAAGTAAAAAAAAACACATAACTTTTATAATTCACATGAATCTGAAAAGAGATCAGCACAAATAACCCGCTAAAACATTGGATTAACGCAGTTCTGTATTTTTATATTTACGCTCTTACGAAACATACAAAAAACTTCTTCGAGAGTTCGATTATATTATACGTTTTTGTCAAAATTCGATATTTGATTTAAAGTTTTACTTTCACATAAATGCAGGTTACAGCTTCTATTGATAAGAAATAACTAATCTCCGCCACTCTGTCGTTTGAAAAATAAACATGTTCACTATTTGAATGTTTTACGCTAAGACATAAGAAAGACGTTTTGTCTTCCACGTTATTCTTTATTTTATATTTACAAATTTTAGGTCCCAATTTCAGAAACTGTCGTCGTGTGTTTCTATTTATGGTAGTTTTAATGTGCACATATATATATATATGGTCTCCATCAACTTCGGATTATCTTAATAAAGTCAATGATTATTGTTCAGTTTTTAAAGAATGCGTACTTAAAATCAATCACCAGTATTTGTAGAGTCAAACTTTTAAAGCCCTTTCGTTACTAATTTAGTTTTCAAATTACCTGTCTTCGAACAGTATTTCAGAAGTATGTAATTTGTAAGTTTTGTTGTGGCGTCAATAATATATCGTTAAAATGAACTTACCGTATTGGTAAATGTTTGGCCAGCAATACATCTGACACACGAACTCTATGTCGAAAAACAAACAAACCACAAAGCACGTGCATGTAATTAAATAAATGATATCTGATAATATGAAAAGTATCTTTATGAAGAAATTTATAAAATAAATAAAAGAAAAATGAATTTAATTTAGTATTCTTTATACACCAATAATTTTATATATATATATTTACTTTTCAACAAACTCTCTTTACGTGTGAAAACACTTGAAAATACTATTGAACTAATTATAATGTGCAAGAAAGTTTCCCTTCCTTCCTTTTCATTGCAAGGTTGGAGCTCAACCGTAGAGTATTTTCAAACGATAAGGTATAAACATCCAGAAATTTGCTATACATTTTAACTCCGAGCACCAATTTTTTTTTGTTCTTAGTCAATATCGTTTGAAAACCTCTGCAGAGATTGCAGGTTATAACTAGTTTATGAAAGCATAATAGTTTGTTATGCTTCTTCGTTTTTACTTTTAGTTTTTCCATTTAAGATGCGTTTTATCTTAAACAACATAGATTTATAAAGTACTAGAAGATATGATGACTTTCGTGTGTTATTACTACATATTACTACAGTTCGTGTTAATTCTTACAACATTTCGTGTATTCTTACTACATATTACCACATTTCGTGTTAATTATTACTACATATTACTACATTTCGTGCTAAATATTACTCCATATTACTAAATTTCGTGTTAATTATTACTACATAT